TCTCGTGCGCCAGAGAACGACACGAGCAGGGGGCAGACAGCTGACCTGACGCGGACGCAGACGCAGACGCAGCGACCTGAGGGGACTCAGTGGTCAGTGTGTACAGGTCCGACCCCGGCTGCCGAGTGAAGGTAGCCAAGTGGCGGCCCATACGAGCACACGTGCAGTGTGTCACACGCTCGTAGGCAGGGGTGAACTGGTGAACACCCCCGTCCTGGAGCGCACAACCTGCCACCAAGTTCGTAGAGAACGAGGGGAGGTGGAGACCTGACAGTGTGCCCGACGGGACCGCAGGACAGGGAAGAACAGTGGAGGAGGTCGCAATGACCGGACCCCCAGAGGGGCCAGCGAGGGAGATAGCAACTGGCCGAGCAAGCGGCTCAAGGGCGGTGCGGTCACGAAAGAAGCAGCGAGAAGCACCTGAGTCCAGTGTGAAGGTGTGCAGTGCTGCTATCGACTCAGTACCAGGGGGGGCAGATGCACAAGCACCTAGAGCAGCTGCCTCACCAGCACCTGGGGTAGCAGACACGCGAGTACTTGGAGCGGCAGACGCACTAGTCCTAATGCCCGGGTCGGGCGGCACACACAGGTACTCAACACCGTCTCCACTAGTAGACATCACATACGTAGCAGTGAGAATAGCATCAAAGTCTAGAGCATAGATATCAACCCCCTTCTTCAGGAGATCAACCCAGCGGGGCAGCTCAGTGGCCTGAGGGAACTGAACACGCCAAGCGTCGTTCAGACAAGCAAAACAGCGCTGTGTGGCGTGCGGTCCCCCACACGACTGACCAGTGCGGTCACCAGTGCGAATGACGTACGTGCAGCTAAAGCCACCCCCCCCCCTGTGCTGAGAGTACCACTCACGGACCTCCTGAGGCGACGGAGTGTGCTGCTGGCCCTGGCCACCGCCAGCGCCTCCACGACCACCACCGCCGCCGCCACCTCCTCGACCACCCCAACCTCCGCCGCCGCGTCCACCGCCACCCCCACCACCGCCTCCGCCCCGGCCACCTCCCCCGCCGCTGCCGCCACCACCCCCACCGCTGCCACTAGCCCCTCCAGTCGCGCCACCACCCCCACCGCCGCCACCTCCCCCACCACCGCCTCCCCCGCTGTCACCGCCTCCGCCCTTGCCCCCTTTGCCCTTGCCGCTGCGGCGCCCGCTCGAAGCAGACGCAGTACCGACCTTCTCAGCACCAAGGAGGTCGACAGCAGCAGCAGAGGCGACAGAGGGAAGGAGGGAAGGAGAACACCCCTCAAAGAACGGGGTACGGGGGTCGCCACGAGAGGCACCTACAGCGACTATGCTAGCCTCACCTGCAAGCAGTTCCTTCTCGAGGAGGGCAATGGTGAGCTCAGTGGGGCAGCGAGCTAGGAAGTGCTGTCAGGGAGGCGGGTGACTAGGTGGTAGAGAGTGAGCCAGAGTGGGGGGGGGTGAGTGGCAAGGAACTCAGCGGGCATGGCGGCACGAAAGTGGGCCTCACTGGTACGGAGGTGCGTGATGAGGTCAGCGACTGTGTGGAACGAGGCTAAGTCGGGGAACAGGTAGGGAAGAGAGAGACGGCCTAGTGCAGCAGAGGCCGGTGAGGAGTAGCGGGCAACGACAGCAGTGTACAGTGCCTGTGCAGTCTTGTGCTGCCCAAAGTGCTCGCGCTCATCTATCGGCAGGGAGTTGCGAATAGCGAAGCGAGCGTGGGCGTCACGAGTCTGCCACTGTGAGCGAGTAGTGCTGTCAGCAGTAGCAGCAGGAGCAGTAGCATGGCCTAGGGCGTGATCGTACAGTGAGATGTCTTCCTTGGCAGTGAGCTGTAGGAAGAGGTGTAGGTCATCTAGCCAGGTTTCGAACTTCACTGGGCGGCCCTCAGCATCGAAAGCTAGCACAGGGGGGCTAGCCATAGCAGTAGCAGGAGTAAAAGTGGTAGTTGCAGCAATAGCAGTAGTAGGGACTCAGGTAGGGCGGCTCGGTCCAGTACGTGCGGCGCGGCTCGGTTCAGGTAGGGCGGTGCGGCTCGGCAAGGGCGGCGCGGCTCAGTTCAGGTAGGGCGGCGCGTCTCGGTAAGGGCGGCGCGGCTCAGTTTGGGTCGGGCGGCTCGGTTCGGGCTGGGCGGCTCGGTTCGGGCTGCTCGGGTCGGGCGGCTTGTTCTGGGCGGGGCCGTTCGAGGCCGCTAGGGGCGAGCGCGGGGCCGTTCGGGGCTATTAGGGGCAAGCGCGGGGCCGTAAGGGGCCGCTAAGGGCGAGCGCGGGGCCGATCGGGGCCGTGAGGGACGAGCGCGGGGCCGCTAAGGGCGAGCGTGGGGCCGATCGGGGCCGTTAGGGACGAGCGCGGGGCAGTAAGGGGCCGCTAAGGGCGAGCGCGGGGCCGATCGAGGCCGTTAGGGAGGAGCGCGGGGCCGTAAGGGGCCGCTAAGGGCGAGCGCAGGGCCGTAAGGGGCCGCTAAGGGCAAGCGCGGGGCCGATCGGGGCTGTTAGGGACGAGCGTGGGGCCGTAAGGGGCCGCTAAGGGCTAGCGCGGGGCCGTTAGGGACGATCGCAGGGCCGAAAGGGGGGGGCCGCTAGGGGCGAGCGCGTGGGCCGTTCGGGGCCCCTAGGGGCGTGAAAACCGAGGCGCCCTAGGGCGTAGTTAGGTAGGTAGGTAGGTAGGTAGTGGTGGGCCCTAAAAAATCGGTCCTGGCAATGACCTGCTCTTTACCATGTTGAAATTAATGAACTGGAATGATTGAACTATGAAAGGAGTGAGTACAAGTACTAACCCTAATTGGGTTGTACCCCCTATGGGATACGAGACCAGTCAAGAAGAGCAAAGCAAGCTCAGGGTGGATCACGACGTCACCAAACATTCCGAGGACAAGCAAGCGGCCACAAGGCCAGCTCACATGCAGAGTAATATAAAGCAGAACAAGCAAGACAGTGATCACAACCTAGCAAGTGTAAGCAGGCATGTATATATATAGAGATCATAGTACAAGTAAAGTCAAGAAGTGAGCAAGTGAGGCCAAGTGGGAACAAGGCCTAGAACAATGCAGAAGCACTGATGATCACAAGGCTGAAGTGCCTTGGTGAAGATATCAGCAGTGTTGGCCTGAGAGGCCACTTAAACAAGATGAAGCTGACCACGCTGCTGCAACTCTCGAGCAAGGAAGTAGCAAAGAGCGATATGCTTCGTTCTATGATGTAGTTTCTGCTCGCGACACAAGACAAGCATTGCCTTGTTGTCGACGTACAGAACAGGAGGAGAACAAAGCGCCTCGCCCAGGTTGGTCAGCAAGTAGGTGAGCCAGCGTAACTCCTGTGCAGCCATGGCCCCTGCATAGATCTCAGCCTCACAGCTGGAGCTGAGAACAGAAGACAAGCGGGTAGACCGCCACAAGACAGAACCGGAGCCAAGGCTGAAGGTGTAGCCCTGTGACGAACGCTGCGTAGCCAAGTCGTCGACCCAAGAAGCGTCTGCTTGACCAGTGAGAACAACTGGAACCCGTCCCCCAAGCACGAGCCCCATGCCCGACGTACTGCACAAGTAGCACATCACCCTCTTAGCTGCCTTCTAGTGCTCTGGTCGGTGTCTCCCGGGCGCAACGTAGCATGCAAGGATGCTAAGAGGGTAAGCAAGGTCAGGACGAGTGCAGGTCATCAGGTACATGAGGGAGCTCACAAGCTCTAGATACGGGCCACTCGGCTCTACGGACTCATCCGAAGGCAGAGCTGAGAGCGAGTGACCGGTAGGCAGAGGAGTGGACAGTGGCGAGGAGTACTGGAAGTCGAAGCGCTGAAGGACCTGCTGCACCATGTGTGACTGAGTCAGGGTGATGGTGCGGCGTGCTCTGTCCCGAATGATCTGCAAGCCAAGATAGTTGCGCAGCTCACCCAGGTATGTGCACGTGTGTCTCTTCTGCAGCTCCGACTTCACTAGAGTCAGTGCCTCAGTGTCAGCAGTGGCAAAAACCAAGTCGTCGACGTACACGAGGATGTAGAATGGCAGCAGCGAAGTGTCGGTGCGTAGAAACAGCGATGGGTCAGCAGTAGAAGGAGCAAACCGAAGGGGCGCCAGTGTAGTCGTCAGTGTGTCGTGCCAATCACGGGGTGCCTGGCGGAACCGTACACTAGCCGCCGGAGGCTCCACTGGGTACCAGGAGGAAACGACCCAGTAAAGCCAGGTGGGCGGCGCAGCGAGATCTCCTCGTGCAGGCTGCCCTGTAGGAAGGCTGTGCTAAAGTCAAGAGATAGAAGCTCGTAGTCACGCTGAGCAGTGACGAGCAGCAGCACCCGAAGAGTGGTCATCTTTGGGGTGGGAGAGAAGGTCTAAAAGTAGTCAACTCCCTGCCGCTGACTGAAGCCTCAAGCCATGTAACGCGCCTTGAAGACAGGCGGAGAACCCGGCGGCCGCTTCACCTTGAAAATCCACATGCCATCGACAATGTTCGCCCCAGGTGGGGGAACCTCGTCAACGTAGGTGCCTGTGGACTTCCACGAAGCCATTTCTGCGTTCATGGCTGTCTGCCACTGAGAGGAGTAGGGACCCTCAACCGCCTCTGCGTAAGAGCGCGGAGTCGTGATGTCTGGTGCATCCGGGTCTCCCTCAGGGGCAAGCAGCACGGGCACGAGATTAGGTGAAGTAGCAGCAAAACACTTGAACTCCTCCTGCCTGTCCTCAAAGACGTCTGTGCCAACGGCACACTCACCCCCGACGGACAGAGGACATACATACCCAGACTCAGCAAAAAGACTAGCAGCGTAGTCTAGACGACAGCGAGCTGCAAAGTCGACAAGCTCAGCTACAAGAGCAGACGCAGCAGTAGACTCAAAGGAAGGGTCAGTTGTCAGAACATTATAGCTTAGCTTTTGTGTAGGCTGTAGTGGGGTAGCCCATATGGGGTACAACCCAATTAGGGTTAGTACTTGTACCCAACCCTTTCATAGTTCATTCATTTTCTCGTTTCTTCTCATCAGTGACAACAGTGGTAAGGAGACGCGTGACAGTAGGACTAGCAGCACGAAGGGAGTCAGACTACGGGTTAGCAAGGGCAGAAAGAGAGGACTCAGGAGGAGACGGCAGAGGGACACGCTGTGAAGTAGTCGAAGGACACAGAGCCATCTGGTGTGTGCCAAGGATAGGAGGAGGACGCGGACGCGAACATCGACGACTAGTGCGAGCAGCGGGAACAGGTGACGCAGGGCGAGACGCAGGCTCATGACGCTAAGCAAGACCTTCGGTCAGACCAGTATAAGGAGAAGGAGCAGGCAGTAGGGAGGCAGGCTGTAGCTGTGATTGGGACTGGACAGACAGTGGACACTCTAAGGAAGGAGCAGGACCAGCGGAAGGCGGGAGACCAAGAACCTGCTCAAGGAGAGGAACGAAGTACGGCCTCGGCCGCTCATTGCCCCCAGAACCAGCAGGGATAGCACCAGCAACCCCAGTGGCAGCTCCAACTCCAGCAGCAGCACAAGCTCCAGCAGCACCTCTAGCACCTCCAGCAGCACCAACAACTCCAGCAGCACCTCCAGCAGCTCCAAGAGCACCACCACGCCAAGCAGCACCTCCAGCAGCTCCAGCAGCACCAGCCTCAGCACCTCCAGCAGCACTGCCAGAGCCAGCACCTCCAGTAGCTCCAGCTTTAGCGGCACCACCCGGCCCAGCAGTTCCAGTACCTCCAGTACGAGCATCTCCGGGACCATTGGCTCCAGAACCCCCAGCAGCACCAGCAGCAGTAGGACCTCCAGCGCTCGTAGCACCACCAGCTCTAGCACCATGGCTCCAGCGACGAGCAAACCACTCACGCAGCTGCTTAGGAGAGAGTGGCTCCCGCCGGGACGAAGCACCCGAAGGACCTCCAGGCCCAGCACCTCCGGACTCAACACGCGCAGGTTCAGCACCCCCAGGCTCTACACCCCCAGACTCAGTAACCCCAGGCTCAGCACCCCCAGGCTCAGCACCCCCAGGCTCCGCACACTCAGGCTCAGCACCCCCAAACCCGACACCCGCAGGTTCAGCACCCCTAGTAGCACCAGAGTCAACAGACACCTCGACAGGCTCGACGACGTCTACCTGGGACACACCTGAGGGAGCAGGATCCTGAGGAGGGAGGGGGTCTACCGGGGGAGGACCTGGCGCAAGGAAGAGTGGCGGGGTTGAAGGGGGGTAGTGCGGTAGGGGAAGAGACGGTAGTAAGGAACCGACACATAAAATGTGACGTCCTACGAGGACAGAACACGGCGCGAGGTGGGGTGGTAAAACTACCAACCAGGCGCGTCAGGGGGAAGCCAAGGAAGACGCAGGGAACAGCACGGGAGGACAGCTTGTCTGCAGACAAGTCGCGGACGAAAGCTCGAGATCGCCAAACTTCCCCGACCACCGCAGAGTAGGTGTGGTCTCCGGGATGGAGACTCGGGGCTTGAGGTTGATTTGATGCGCCGCGTACTGAACCGCGAACGGCCTCAGAAAATCGGGAGCAACCGCATGGATGATGCCAATGCGGTGCTCAGCAATCCCATTTTGCTGTGGAGAGGCCGGACGCATGAACGTCTGGCGGATGCCCTCCGCACGGCAGAAGGCTTGCAGAAGGTCAGAGGAAAACTCTCCACCTCTATCGGAGTGCAGACGCAGAATAGGAAGGTCCGAGCCGAAGCTCTCGCTGAGCTGACGACGGGCAGCGCGGATCCAGTCGATCAGCACCTCAGGGACCTCACCCTTGCGGCGCAAGGGGAAGACTGTGGTGTAACGCGAGTAGTCGTCAACGTCCAGTAGAAAGTAGCGCTCGTGACCCTGTCCACGGACGCGGGCCGGGCCCCACATGTCCATGTGAAGAGTCTGCAGGGGAGCCTCCGTCGGAGGGCACTCGGAGGAGTAAGGAGCGGCACGCTGCCGCCCCTCGACGCAAGGAACGCAGGTAGGGGTAGGTTCTGGGGGATGGGGAGGGAGAGACCGGGGCAGACCAGTAACAAGGACACGAGAGGCCATGCCTCGGAGACGAGTCAGGGAGGGGTGACCAAGGCGGTGGTGCCAGAGGAGAGTCTAGTGAGACAGGAGGCGACACGAGCAAGGGGCAGACTCAGGACCAGACCAAGACGCTGCAGCAAACACCTTACCCGACGTGGCTACCTGACCAGACTCAGCAACCGAAGGAGACACGGTAGTCAGGGTGTACAGGCTCGACCCAGGCTGACGGGTGAACGTGGCCAGGTGCCGGCCCGTCCGAGTATACGAAGAGTGGGTCACCCACTGACCTCCAGGAGTAAACTGGTCAGCACACGCGTCCTGAAGGTCAGCTCCTCTCACCTATTTCGTGGAGAACGAGGGGAGGTGGAGGCCAGACAGAGAGCCAGACGGGACCGCCGGACACGGCAGAAACATGGAGGAGTGTGCAAGGACCGGACCCCTAGAGGGGTCAGCCAGAGATACTGCCACTGGCCGACTGAGCGGCGAGAGTGTGGTTTAGTCATGAAAGAAGGAGCGGGAAGCACCCGAGTCAAGGGTGAACGTGTGCAAGACTTGAGCCGACGCATTACCTGAGAGAGCAGACTCACCAGCACCTGGAGCAGCAGACTCAGTAGCACCTAGAGCAGCAGCCTCAATGCCCGGGTCGGGCGGAACACAGAGGTAATAGTCACCCTCAGCACTAATAGTCACAGCATACATAGCAGCAAGGATAGCATCATAGTCAATATCAAAGATAGCAACGCTAGACTTAAGCAGATAACCCCAGCGAGGGAGCTCCGTGGCGTCACGAAACTGTGCACGCCAGGCGTCAGTCAGGCAGCCAAAACAACGCTACGTGGCGTGCGGCCCTCCGCACATCTCCCCACTGCGCTCGCCAGTGCGGAGAACGTAAGCACAAGGACCAACACCCCCAGACCTCCCACGCCCAGCGTACCACTCACGAAGGTGCTGGGGGTACAGGGTCTCACGAGAACGCTGCTGCTGCTGGCGCTGGCCACCACCAAGGCCTCCCCGCTACACAGCGCCACCCCGATCAGCACCACCGCCGCCACCACCCCCACCGCCGCCACCACCCCCACCGCCGCTGCCGCCGCCACCTCCACCTCCACCGCCGCCACCAAAGCCCCCACTCCCGCCACCACCCCCAACTCCACCCCCACCCTCTCCGCCGCCTCCACTGCCACCACCGCCGCCCCAGCCGTCTCCTCCAACACCCTTGCCCCCCTTGCTCCTGCCGCTGCGGCGCCTCTCACTAGGAGCAGACGCAGCGCCGACCGACTCGGTGTCAACGAGGTTGACAGCAACAGCAGAGGCAACAGAAGGCCAAAGGGGAACGGGGGAGCACCCCTCAAAGAAAGGGGCACGAGGGTCACCACGAGAGGCTCCTACAGTTACTATACTCTTCTCTGCTACAAGGAGGCCCTCCTCGAGGAGGTCAACGGTGAGCGTGGTGGGGCAAAGGGAGAGGAAGTGGTCCCTGACCGAGCGAAGGGAGTCACGGAGCCGGGTGACGAGGTAGTAGAGAGTGATGTACCTAGGGGGGGGGGTTCGCGGCGCAGAACTCGGTAAGAAGCGCAACGCGGTAGCGGGTGTCACGAGTGCGGAGGTGCGTAATGAGGTCAGCGACTGTGGCAAAAGCAGCTAGGTCAGGGAAGAGGTACGGCAGCATGAGGCGGCTAAGGGCAGCAGTGGCAGGGGAGGAGTAGCGCGCAACAAAAGCGTCGTACAGAGTCCTAGCGGTCTTGTACTGGCTAAATAGCGCGCGCTCAGCAGACGACAGGTGACTACAAACAGCAAGATGGGCAGCAGCAACGCGCGTGGTTTACTGCGAGCGAATAGCACTGTCAGCATCGGCAGCAGGTGCAATAGAGACGGCGGACGTGTGATCGAACAGTGAGACTCGGTCCCTAGAATCGCACTGCAGAAACAGCTGCAGATCATCGACCCAGACCTCGAAGTCAACCGCTCGACCCTCAGCATCGAAGGTAAGAACATTAGGGCTAGCCATGTCAGCAGGAGCAACAGCAGTAGCCTAGCAGCAGCAGCAACAGTAGCAGCGCGACTTGGCAGGGCAGCGCGACTCGGCAGGGCAGCGCGACTCGGCAGGGCGGCACGGCTCAGCAGGGTGGCGCGGCTCGACAGGGCGGCGAGGGTGCGGCGGTGCTCTTACTAGTGGCAGGAGGGGAGGGAAGAGGCCGCGACTGGTGGGGCAGGGCTGTGGCGCGTCAGAAGGGTAGGGGTCGCGACAAGGCGGCAGGGCAGGGCCGTGACTCGACGGCAGGTCAGGGCCGCGTCAGGGCGGCAGGGCAGGGCTGCGACTGCGGGGCCGCAGCGGCGACGACAGCGGCGGTCGCACCGGCGGCTGCAGGCTCGACGGCGGAGGCAGAGCCGCTACGGCAGCAGCAGGGGCGACGGCTGCTGCAGGCCACGGGGCCTCGGCGGCTGCTGCTGTGGAAGGGGCCGCGACGACGAGGCGGGCGGGCCGTGGAGGGCCGCGACGACGGGCGGGTGGAATGCGCAAGGCCGCGACGAAGGGGCGGGCGGGCCGCTAAGGGCCGCTAAGGGCGGCGACGGGCCGCCAAGGGCGGCAGGGCGGGCCGCCTAAGGGTGGCAGGGTGGCGACGGGCCGGTAAGGGCGGCAGGGCGGGCCGCCAAGGGCGACAGGGCGGGCCGCTAAGGGCCGCGACGGTAGGGCGGGCCGCTAAGGGCCGCGACGGCAGGGCGGGCTGCTAAGGGCTGCGAAGGCAGGGTGGGCCGCTAAGGGCCACGACTGCAGGGTGGGCCGCTAAGGGCGGCAGTAGGGCAGAGCCCGATGCGCGCTTCGGGCAGGGCAGAAAAAAAAAATTCAAGTGGTGGGCCCTTAAAAAAAACGGTCCCACTAGGGAACCCGCTCTTTACCATGTGAGAAAAGTACGAGGAATGAATGCACTAGGAAACAGGAGGGTACAAGTAGGAAAGCCTAAAAGTTTTGTACCCCATATTTGTCAGAATGTTATCTTATGCTCTAGCCTGTAGTGGGGTGCTCTATAGCGAGTACAACCCTTCTGGGGTTTGCTATTTGTATCCCCATTCTTGCTAGTGCAACCCTCTTCTTCTCTTCTAAACTTTCACGTTCTATCAGAGCAGGTCGATCCCCTTGGATCGATCCTGTAAGTGGGCTTACCACCTCCTAGCTTCCGCTGCAACTCCTACCACTACACTCTGAGCCGCACGCCCCGTGGCGTGCGGCACTTTTTATTCCCGCCGTGCGCCCCGAGGCGCGCGGCGGTTCTCTGCCCGCTGTGCGCCCCGAGGCGCGCGGCGGGCTTCTGCCCCGTCGTTCGCCGCGTTGCCCTCTGGAGACGCCGCGACGGGCGACGGGGACCCGTCGCGGCGCACCGAGGGCACGTGCACCAGCCCCGTCGCCCTACCGTCGACCCGGCCCCGTCGCCCTACCTGCGCACCGGCCCCGTCGCCCTACCGTCGACCCGGCCCCGTCGCCCTACCTACGGCCCGGCCCCGGCCCCGTTGCCCTAACTGCGCCCCGGCCCCTTCGCCCTACCTGCGCCCCGGCCCCGTCGCCCTACCTGCGCCCCGGCCCCGTCGCCCTACCGTCGACCCGGCCCCGTCGCTCTACCTGCGGCTCCGGCCCCGGCCCCGTCGCCCTACCTGCGCCCCGGCCCCGTCGCCCTACCTGCGCCCCGGCTCCGTCGCCCTACCTGCGCCCCGGCCCTGTCGCCCTACCTGCGCCCCGGCCCCGGCCCCGCCTGCGGCCCCGGCCCCGACGCCCTACCTGCGCCCCGGCCCCGTCGCCCTACCTGCGCCCCGGCCCCGGCCCTACCTGCGGCCCCTTTTCCCGTCGCGCGTCCCTTCTGCTGCCTGTTTTGGCGCCCTGGGAGGCCGCGCGTCGGTCCCCCCCCCCCCCCCCCCTCCCCCGTAACCTCCCTACCCGCCATCCCGCCCTGCCAGTGTTAGGGTTTGGGGGTTGGCGAGTAGGGGGTGGCGAGTATGGGGGTGGCACTTATGCATTCCTCCCTTTGCTCCTCCTCCTCCTTCGTCTCCCACTGCAGCAGCTGTCGCTGAGGGCGGTGGATGTGTGGGAGACTGGGGTTTAGGGTTTAAGGGGGGTGCGTGGGAGTGGAGCTAGCGGTGTAGCAGCGGGTGCGTGCCAGGGGGAGTGGGATAGTGTGGGGAAGCTGTATGGAGGTTGCCGTCGTGTCGCCAGCAGCACCTGTATTCCGGGGAGTTGCTCCGGTAGCCCAGTCGTAGCCAGCTGTGCCAGCCGCCCGTGGGTCCGTTGCTCGTCTGCCGCTACTTTAGCCGCGAGGCCAGTTACTCCAGTATTCCGGAGCGCCGCTGTGCCAGTGTGCCTCCTGTTGCCCGTGTGTCTGCAGCTTCAGCCGTCGCCTCCTATCTCCTCTCCCCTCACTCTCTCTCCTCCTCCTCACTTGCCCGTTGTGACTACCACTAGCTTTGCTCATTATTGTGAACCTTAAACTATTGCTTCTTGAACTTGTGCTCAGAATGTGTGGTGACATTGTGATCCACCCTGAGCTTGTACTGCTTTGCTTGCTCTGCTGATTACACCCCACTTTGGCTATGGGGGTGTGTCAGAATGTTATCTTATGCTCTAGCCTGTAGTGGGGTGCTCTATAGCGAGTACAACCCTTCTAGGGTTTGCTATTTGTATCCCCATTCTTGCTAGTGCAACCCTCTTCTTCTCTTCTAAACTTTCACAATATTATCTACCCCACTACAGCCTACACAGACTATAGCATACATGTTTGACAACTGCCACCTCAGCGGGCACACGATCACCAAATAGAATTAGAACCGGGGGCACAACCAACTGTACAGCGCCAATTCAGACTGACACGACCCGAGCTCGACGAACTGAGGAAGCAGTTAGATTACCTGTTAGAGAAGAAATTCATCCGACCGAGATCGTCCCCATTCGCCGCACTGGTATTGTTCACGCCAAAAAAAGACGGGGGGTTTCGCATGTGCATTGATTACAGCGCACTGAACATGGTAACAGTCAAGTCGCGATACCCCATTCCCCGCGCCAGCGAACTAATAGATCAACTGCGAACAACACGGGTCTTCTCGAAAATCAATTTACGAGGAGGTTACCATCAGATTCGGGTCGAACCATCGGACTGCGCCAAGACAACTTTTAGGACAAGGTACGGATCATTCGAGTACACCGTGATGCCATTCGAACTGACAAACACGCCGACGACATTTCAGATGACCAAGAACGAGGCGTTGAGGCCACTTTTAGATGAATGTGTGATAGTTATCTCGACGACATCCTCGTCTACAGTCGCGATAAGGAGTAGCAACAGCACTTAGCAGATTTGGAAGCAGTATTTAAAATCTTAGATGAGCACCGGCTACTGACCAAGGGTTCCAAGTGCGAGTTTTTCCAGGTTGGGCTAGAGTTTTTGGGGCACGTTATTTCGGAGGGTGGGGTTGAAATTGACCCGAAGAAGCTAGACACCGTAAAAGCCAGGCACCCCCCGACGAATATCACGGAGCTGCAGAGTTTTTCGGGGTTCGTAAATTACGTGCGTCGGTTTTTCCCCGACATGGCCCGGCTAACGGCGCCAGTAACAGACTTACTGCGCAAGGGGGTCGCTTTTACGTGGGGGGGGGGAAAGAGCATGCTGCCTTTTCTGCCCATGAAAAATGTTCTCTGTTCACCACCTGTATTGCGC